TTTTTAATCGCCCGGAAAATGTAAAAAATCTTTTGTAACCCGTGATATTTTTCTTATTTATAAAAAAAATATTACAGATATAGTTAATAGGATCTTTTTGCATATCTACCTATACCTACAGATTGCTTGCGCACAATCGGGGCAATTTGATGTGAAATTATAAGCATTCCTAAGATCTCTCAAAATAAACTCATGAATAAAAAACTTCTGAATAACGTGGCATAATAATCTTACATTATTACTTACGAGTAGATGTCTCAGATAGGTTTTCAATACATTAACCAAATATCAACTGTAAAAAATAATAATATTCTTCTTTTTTTTTAAATATAGCTCAAATTCTATGAATTCACGACCTTTTATTTTATTTAAATGTATACTATGGTCCTATGGTTTAATAATCTTCTGCTGTTGGATTATTTAGGCTATTTTATTCAATTTTTAAACATCTGATCGAAATCTGTTTTATTGTACTTTTTTGTTCTTCACAAWTATTTTATTTTTGGTACTATTACCTTCATGGAATTATAATATATTTTCAACAATCATTCAACTAAAATTTCACGCTCACATTAACTAACGTTAGTGGAAAATTTATTGAAAATAGTTTGTGATTTTTATTCTATAATATTTATCTTCATAATTCTATTGTTTTAGATTCTGAGTGGAGSAATGAATGTATTGATTTTACAATAATGTGTATTTTAGATGTATACTAGATTTATACTTTATATTCTAATATTAATAGTTATGTTGTTAATGTCTTATATTAATAATTTATAATAAATTGTATATGCCTACTATGAATGACTGAGTGAGTTGGGCACATAAAGAATTTGATTTGGCTTATTTAGAATTTATCTTAGACGTAAGATCTACATTTTTTTTTTTTGAATAATAACAATATAATTAATATAGCATAACTGCATAACATACCCTAGTCTAGGATTCCTAGACTGACAAACCATCTCCACTCAAAATCGTTTTTCGTATAGGTACAATGATATTATATTATTGAATTCAAATTTAATAYCATCCATTACACTATTACAGCAACCTACTTGTAACCTACTGTACAGCAGAGTGACATYCATTTACTTATCGACTTTTTTCTGTTTAGATCAGTGTATTTCGGCCAGGGTTCAACAGAATGCTTAATTTCTCTTAACMTATTTTTGTGATCGTGTGCCATTTGCAGGTGTTCCACAAATCAATGCAATATTTGTTTATATTTCTTTTTAAATTTAATTTCACATGACAAGTGTACCACTTTTTTATTGGGGAATTAGTTATGGACTTAAGTTTGTAAAAAACAATATTTTGTTCTTATTAAATAAACTGTTTTATTTTATAAAAATAGAATAATGATATGTCTTAAGGAACAGGTAATTTAAAATGTAGTTTCTAATATAGTGGTTTTAATAATTTATAGGTACAGTTAAAATCGTTTAAAAAACATTTAATACCGGTTACAATAAATAAATTATGTTATAGGAACCAATATTATCAAGCTACTAAACCATTTTTATAATATTTACACCATGGTAAAGAAAGCGCTCTATAATTAGCCGCCWATTAGGTTCTTAATTAATACTATTTTGTACAAGATACAACAAAAACAAATACTAAATTTAAGATAAGACTTGACCATTGGGTGAAAACTTGTAATCACTTACTTATTAAGATAAGTATCTTTTTTTAAATTTTAAATTTGGTTTTTTCATTAATACCATGTCCTATAATTTTAATATATTTATATAAATCAGGCTTTTGTTAATTTGTACTGCTGTATTTAATATTAACATATACATATATACATAACATATATGTACATAACAAATGATACGTCATGTTATACTTATAGTTATTACTATTAGTTATTAACTTTTGTAATTTTATGTTAACGAAATACAGTAAATACATCCATATTATAGTAAATAAAAGAATAAAATAAAATAGACAAAAGAAAATGGTAATATAGAACACATAACACGTTGGAAATAGTTAATAAATCAATTAYGGTAAATTTATAAATTAATTATTTGTAATCAAGGTCATCTGTGTAATGTTAGATTGAAAAGGGGTATGCTTTAATAATTTATAATTTTTTTAAGGGAAGAGAGACAACTCAATAAAGTAAATAAATATTATGAAACTATGAAAATGTATATTATATAATATATATTACATTATATGCATAGACTATAGACTATAATAATTAATAGTGCTCTACAGTTGGCGTAGAAAGATTATATGATGATAAACGATATTTGAATCGTTAAGTAAAGACATATAAGCTTAAGTATTAAACTTTAAAAAACATTATTGAAATTCGTTCAATTATTAAAGACTGTCAGTTTTTTTTTAAATATTTGTCGTTAGGGGAGAAAGTAAGCCCATTAAATATAAATTTACTTGTAATTATTATTCTTTATTGTATATATATTTATAAATAACAGTCATAATGACCGTCGTTGTCTRCTGATTCATAGTCTAWGAATTCGATTGATGTTCTTTTTGGTGTATCGAATTGCCACTGCTATTATRATGCTATTTATTATTGATCTACTCAAAWTAGTTCATTTTTACCCTACCTATAATTAATGGAAAAATAATTCACATTCTTCAATACTCATTTTTTATGAATTATTATCTGCATTACTGACTACTGTACATGCATATTTAATATGTGTTATCATAATTTATAAACATCTGGTGCTCAAGAGCYAAGATTAATGGATCCTTAGTTAAGAATAAKATACTTACGATATCAGTTCATTGAATATCAATACAAATTATACATAAATATAATTACATTTTTAATTATATTTCTCGTGAGCATAATGCATAACATATCGACATTTCAATAATTACTGAAATATTGGCCCCATAAATATATGTATTTCTGCCATTCTATTGTTTATTATGAGAATTTTAAAGAAAAAAAGAAAAAAATATATAAAAGAGATATCATAGTCCATAGGGCATACAAAAACTTGTCATGTTTATTTTGAATAAACGTAGTTCTTAAAATATTTAAATGGAGTTTTTTCTCACTATATACCGATGCATTTTTGCACTTATACAAAAATAATATTAACGTTATAAATAGTCATAAGAAATGCTCTTTAGATAAATAGTTATAAGTATAAGCGTACACCTACCCTATTATAGTCAATTTATCGCTTTTGCGCAGCATTTATTTTAAAACCTTTGTATATATAAGAGCTAAATTTTGTTGGACATTTTATAGTATTATTAATAATTTAATTACGAAAAAAATCCAATTTACAAGATATAATATGCTAAATATTTACATAATGATTTTGTATTCAAAAATATCTAATTTATTATTTTTATAGATGCTCAGCTATTAATTAATTGTGAGCAAAACCTTCGTAGGTTTTTGTTTTGCGTGAATAGTTGTACRTTTTCGAAATTTAAAATAACTTAAAAATACTAAATGTCACGGCACAAATCTACAATATTAATTACTATAATATACGTTAAATACGTATTAACGACTTAATTTATATTTATCACGACCTTGGACRTGGTCATGACTACAGTATCGAGAAATGCTACTTTAAGCTAAGGATTAGGTATATAGTTGGCTTTCACGTCGATCTGACTGTCTTACTTCGTAGGTAGGTACGGAATTTATCACCAAGGCGAATACCTATAATAGGGCCTTTTTCGGTATCATATATATGGGAAAAAACAATTAATTATTGATTTATTAGGTAGGTTACTCATGTTTTATTTCTATGTTTGAAATTGGGATTAATCGTTCTCCAGCTGTGTAGGAATCATTTAAAAAACCTTAAAATATCCATATCCTTAAAAAACCTGACTAGACATCGCATAAGTCGTGTTGCGAAACAATGATAGGTATTTTTAGCATATCAAATGGATGTGAGATCAGAAGACGGTTAACTTAATATTATATACCTATACTCTTATTATCATGAAAAAATCGAAAAATACTATTGTATACCTAGTAAATATTAAATATATTACTAAATAATACATAAATTGAAAATATTTAATGATTTTACCCCAGGCAGCCCAGGCGCGCAACTATTACCATTAGCCAAACTCAATCAAAGCTGATTGATTAAGATTATTGAATYTGATTACATTATTACAATAAGACGCAGTTTATTTTTTCTACAGTTAGCGCAATATTGGTTCTTTTTACCACACAGACACACAGTGTCTCGGATCCAGACTGGTCCTATCGTTCCGTGTGGGGTGCATTATTAAGCCAACACATTATATTTATTTATTTCATTATAATGATTATTAACGATTAACAATCATTACGTCTGGATTTTTCTAATAACACCTGTGCATTTTTTCAGACATGAACTGCAACTTGCGGTCCTCCAAGTACATTACCGACGGACAGTGCGTGTCTACCAAACCTGTGGTTGAAGCCGTATGTGCCGACCGCTGTCTTGTTTCGGCCAACTCGTTGAGTCATAGACATCGATCTTCTATGCTTGATAACACGCAGGTAAACATATAGGCATATATTGGAGGTGATATAGCCATATAGGTACGATGTTACCGTCAAAGATGTAATGATTAATGAACCAATGTTAATGGCTAATAAAATTTAATAAGCTAATAACAGTAGGTATTTCCGATCAAATCAGATTGTATAATAATATAATATTGACTTAAGTAATAACGCMAAGTATTTCTTAGGTAATGAAAATAATATTCCTGACTTCTTCAGTCATAATTGATAAAAATGTTCAACGTTCATTGAATTAGAAACGGCCAACCAGCCCGCGTAGTGCATTGTAAAATCATTGTATATATATATATATTATATAATCAGAAGGAATTAAAATGTAAATAACTATGTAAAAGATCCTATAGAATCAAGTATAATATGATAGTCATTCATCGGACACATTTTTATATTAGGTAGATACACAATCAGTGCTGTTGAATTGAGGGGAACGTCGTAAGGGTCCCTAGCATCCCTCTTCTTTAAAAAAACATTTATGCGTACCACTTCTAATCATATCCTGGCCAATAAYACATTTAAATATTTAATACGTACATTTTTAAATATTTGAGCACCTTTTTTCATTAAGATGACAYGATACCCGCATGTGTTTTCTCCACTCTCCGTCTTGCATGCAAGTGCCTAACACGTCATAACAAATTTTACGCTCAGCAGAACACGTTATATTCCGTTAGTGGCGTTAGTTTAAAAATTACAGTAAATTGACCTATTATGAAACTTGATGGTAAGAACATTATCAGTGTTTGTATATGGGTTTTGTATGATAACTTAAYTTTTAATAACTTGCTACAAAATTGAATTATCGTAAAAACCACTGCACATACAAACACAGAATATAACGTTCTTAACATCATCAAGTTTCATAATAGGTCGATTTACTGTAATTTTTAAACTAACAGAGCTAAAACCTAAAAGTTATCTGCTGAGCGTAAATTGGTTTGTTATACACTTGAAAGGGTAGTCAGAAAAAAAAGCCACGGAAAAAAAATCCACAGAAAAAAAAGCCAATAAAAAAAATCCAGGGAAAAAAAAGCCACGGGAAAAATAACCTACAGAATAAAAAGCCATGGGAAAAATAAACCACGGAAAAAAAAGTMAAATTAAAATAATTGAATAATATATTAAAATTAAAATTTAATTAAAAATATTTATTTAAAATTTTTTTACACATTATTGGTCATATTGTATACATAATATATATA